GGGGGGGGGGGCGATGACGTCGGGGAGGCCGCGGAAACAATTGATAAGGATGGGAGGCGCGCACGCGCGCGCGATAAATACACGGAAACACGCGCGAGATATCGTAGTGTAATAGCCGGGCTGGCTATCGGCTCCGGATAGTTTGATACAGCGCGCTCGTATGCGCACCCCTGTGCGCAAATATTAACTTTCGCCGGTTCGAGCGAACGCCGTTTAGAGACAACGTTTATCTGATATCGAGCGAATAAATCATCCGGCCGCGTTTCCGAGCATTTGGCGCGCGCGCGCGCGCGCGTCCAGCGCAAACTTTTCCCGCCGTTGCGCAGCGTCGGCGGTGCGTTCGTGAAATTTCGACGGAGTGGGAAGAATGAGGAGAGGGCAGGCTTGTTCTTTCCAGCCGGAGCGCACTGCGTTGCGCCGGAACTCCGTTCCTTTTTCGCTCAACGGTGGATTACACAGGGCGGACCGGAGCGACCGTCCACTACGATTTCATCAAGAACGGCTAAAGGTAGAGTTACGAGGCAAACATTTTGTACGCCAGCTTGGCTCGGGAGAATTCCACTGAAATATTTTCGAAACCGTTCGACCTTCTATCAGGGCCCTTCCCGGGAGGCTAATGTCGGTTTCTCTCGGAAGTTTGACGTGAAAAAGGTACGCGTTGAGTTCAGGCTCGGTGCTTGTAAAAACGAGTAACCGTCGTACCGATTTTTTTTCGAGATTCTTAACCATTCGGGACGTTTCCAGTGAACTTTGGATTTTAGAGAACCTCACGTTGCTTTGAATCGTTGAATTGATAAACATTGATCCCGGTGGAGGATTCCGAAGGTGGGTAATACAAGAGCTTCCCGACGATGCGTGACACATTGATTTTTGCTACAATGGCTGTGCCCCCCAGTTTCACATACAAGCAAGAATACACAGATAAAAATTAATCTTAAATGTTAAGAATCTTGAAAATAAATATTCTCATATACATTATTCTCTTTCTTTCCTGCATTGAAAATATCGTTCTTTCGTACCCAGTACATTTTCCTCTCGCAATTCATGAAAATTATCCTTGAATAACGAGAATTTCATCTTTTCACGGGAGCTTCTTCACGTGAGAAAGTTTTATCTGTTTAACGCTGTACAATCTCATTTCAATATTTCGCATGTGAGAACAAGGTTCTTCTCAACACACACACACGCGCACACGCACACACAGAGATATTCTTTTTTCCACGCTGACCTAATATTTCGACTAGAAACGCAGTGCTGCTTTGCATTATACAGCGAGCGGAGACAGACGTGCACCGAACGTCAAACGCATCGACATTAAGGGAATAGCGTATATCCGTTGGGGTGATTTAGCGGCGACGTCAGCGAGGTCAGCGAGCGAGCGAACGCACCCAGATCGGATCAAGCGCGTACGTCCCGCGCGCGCGCGCGATGTAATTGGATCGTGTACGGAATAAAAGGATAAACAATATCGGCCGTGTACCGACGCGAATTGCCCGATAAAACCCGTTTCCATTGGGGCCGCGCCTCGTCACACGCGCGCGCTCGCGCGCGATCTGCCCGAATTTAATGTATTTCGCGAAACACCGAATCCGAAACGGCCGCGCGAACGGCGCAACGCGAGATTCGCCCGATTTGTTTCCGTTCTATTTTTTTTTATTTCTTGCCTAGGGGGGAGCTGAACCGACGAGAAACCGATTCCCCGACGTGAGGAGAGAGCAAATCGAGTAAATTAGAGCGAGATATAAGGTAACGGGTACCATTTATGGTTCGAGTCTCAATCTCGAGTCAGATCTTAGTTCATTAATGTATTAAAAACATACACGTCATTATGAAAATAGGGGAAAGTTTTTTTGTATTCTTTAGTTCATTTACAATTATTGTATTCTAAGGTTACATTCGGAAACATTGCAGGTAATTAAGAAAAAAATGTAGAGTACCACTTATCTACCTGTTGCATATTATTATTATTATACTTAGTAAAATTATATATAAAATCTGTATTTCGTTAAAAAACTAATATATTATATACACGTAATATGTATTTTCTTTCTCTTGATTCAGAATTGGATTTGACCCGTTATGTTAGGGGCGCGACATAATTCGCCGGCCCATAATTAGGATTTATGCATTGACATCTCTAATTATTATTTCTTTATTTAAAATCAATTGAAATCGCATAATTCCGTTTAGAAACTACGATATTTATCGCTGACATTGATATTCCTAGTTCCACTTAATATTCGATCGTTAGTTTTTTTATGAACGAATAAACGTTACTCAAACTTTAAATGACTCATAATTAGAACAGTTATCTTACTCTCCGAAATTCCTCGAATGGAACTCCCCTCGAAACGCGAAGTGCGACTGTCACTCGAGCGGTCGAGTGACTTTTCGCTCGTACGAAGAATTCCTCTGTTCTGAGTTGTCGAATGAATATTTTACTTCATAATTGAAGAGCTGATCCGACCATATTCCATCGTCGTGGGAACAAATTTGCTGCGATCGGCTAAAACATTCACTCGTATGAATTAAGAATCCACTTCGAGCTTGAATTAAACATAAGCCCGAATAGCGATATTTCCATCGTCTCTCTCGGCGAATTTTAGCTCGTTTTAAGTGAGATCTCGAAAGGAAGATTTGATAACAAGTATCCAAATTGGGTTGATATGTACCCACCGTATGTTCGATTAATGCAATCAGAAAATTTCATTCCATTTAGTGTGCAGTAGCTCCTAATACTATTTGTATAGCGAATATGGAACTGTAGAACAGTCGCGGAACTAAATTTTGGGGAATTTTCAGGATGCACCGAGAGGAGGATTTGGTGACAATCCTTTTGAAAATTTCCAAAGGAAATCCAAAGGAACCTCATGTGAATCCATATAAATCCATATATCTTATAGATTCCCACCTGGTTCTTTTCTTTTTCAGGGGAATACCAAAATTCGACACATGACCGCCGAATGTTTGAAAACCGGCGAGCAAAGAATTTCGTTCCGTATATTATGCTGTGTACTTTCGTACACTGTATATACTATACATAAAACTACAGTGCAGATTACGGAATTAAATCTTTCGGTCGCAACAATCGAACATTTGCTGGGCATATGCCATAAAAATCCTTCTTTCGGTGTACACTGAAAAATTGAGCGGAGAGTAAAATCCTCTCGTGATAAGGTTCCTCGTGTCTCCGTGAAAGCCGATTCCGAGAAGAATTTCGTTCGTCACGAAGACGAAGAGAAGTGACTCGCGAATTATTCAGACTCTCTTAAGCCCGAATCGCCGGAATTTGAATTTCACGCGACTTTGGGACGGGGGGGGGGAGGGCAAATACGGGAGGGAAGTCACTGCCGCACCGCGGGGATCCTTGTCGTCATTCGTTCCGGGGTCCGCGCGAATTTCCCGCGACGATCGCCTCGGCGTTTCGCCCGCGATGACAGATCGATCGATCGATCATCCAGGGTCGCTTCATCGATTGCGGCCGGCTTTCGGGATCGGCGGTCGCGTGACGAGCAAGCCTCGCAGTCGCACAACACATGCATAAGTGATGCACCGGCCGCTTGTTTGCGCGGGATCTCCCTTACGACGCGCCCGAAGCGAATTCGCGCTGCTCAGCCTCTCCGAACGAAATCTCGACCGTCTCGCTGGACGATTGACTGCTGCACGTTCGAAGGCGCTCGGAAGCTCACACGTCGACTTGGGCGCGACCGGATGTTGGCGGCCTTACGAAAATATTTCACCGTTTTCACGTCTTTACATCGCCCGTTTCTAAACCGCCCTGCCATTTCTCGGCTCGTTTCCTGCCGGCTCTATCAAGGAGACTGTAAGGCTCAGTGTTATATATTTTCAGTGGGCGCATTAAGTGGGCCACTCGTAAATTTCGTATCTATCGGGCAAAATTACGCGCCTACTCGGAAAAGAAATAGTCTTAAATCAACGATAGATGTTCTCATATATGAGCAAGGAAGTTCTATTTTTAATCGCACGAGCAGCTAGATGATATTTCAGTGTATACACTGCAAAGTCGAAGTGTATCATTTTTCCACGCGTAAACATCTAAAATTGATACATCTGACCCAATCTCCCACATGTTTCTTGTCGTTTTAGATTACGTCATTTGAGACGTCCAATTGCGTTAAATAACGTGATTTAAAACGGCGAGAAAATGTGCAGTAAGAAAAACCTCCGCTGAAATAACACGATTCGATTTGCAGTGTACGTAGCGCAAGTTTCATCGAATTCTAGACGATGAGCGATCGATACGCTCCTCTTTCACTAAATATCGCTCCAATATGGAAAGAAGCATGCCACAAAGTCGTGCATTTGCACGTGTTGCATCAAAATGCGCAACGTAACTGCTCGCGAGTTATTTCATAAGTATTTTGTATTTTGCACTTTTGTAGCCGAAGATACGTTTACATACCTCAAATTTACGCAGCACTGTGCGCGTTTACTACTCAAGAATGCCCGACAGTACACGTTCGTACCATTCGACTGTACTCGCACGCGATCCGCTAATAATAATTGCTCGTTATTGCGGAAAAGTGCGCGCCTTCACCCAGCGACCTGAAAACGGGCTCGTACTCACTCAGCCGAATCTCACTGCTCGAACCGACGGTTCCTTCGCTAAAAACGGCGAGATATTTTTGCAAGGGCGCCCGGCCGCCGCGAATACTCGCGAATACTCTTCGGCGAGCGGGAAGAGTCGTCCTCCTCCCGCGGGACGAACGCGGCAGCAACACTCTCGGCTCTCCCGCGCGGATCAGAGGGCTCGGAGGGCAGTCTCGAGTCGTCGCGAACCGTCCCGCGCCGTTTAAGCGACGGTACTGAGGGTCCGACCGGGTTCACCGGTTTATACGAACCCCGGGGGCCCGCAGCGGGGAATTGCCAACAATTGCCGTTTTTACATAATTCCGCAGCGCGCACCGCCGTACTTCGGTCCGAGGATCTCGCTCGAGTCGCGGGACCGAAAGAGGAACAGCTTCCTGAAATAGGAGAAACAGACGGCACGCCACACGACCCGCGGGTTCAGCGCCGCGGCAGCGCACCGGGCTGAAATGAACGTCCCTGTCAGTCTTCATCGCCCGACGCGTAATTCAATCCGCGGTGCAATCAATCGCGTGAAAAATGCAGCCCGACCGTCACGTGGAATCGTGTGTCCCGCGAGAGAAACGGGGCGCTATTCGCCGGTTAAGAGAATGCGAGAAATAAAAGGAGCGCGTGAAAGCCCTCATCCAACATCTCATTATATCTCTCTCCCTGTGAAACGTGAGTCCGACGACTCTTTATATTATCCGTGCACCTACCGATATCACGGAGCTCTTTCATCGGTGCGGAGCGGAAAGTAGAAGAGAAGATGGTGACTATTGTAACGGCGCGCCTTTAAGGTGAACGTTCCGATTGGTGACGAAGTAACCTCATGGGGAAAATCAATTGATAAATTATGATTATTATATTTGTATAGTAACACACTTATTATTACGATACGCGTGAAGTGTGCAATATTTATTTTGTCGGGAAGCCTAGATATTTCGGATTTTTATTGCACCCGATTTTTTTAATTTATGACAAAATTTTTAGTAATTTATACTGCATCGAGCATTGCGTTTTTTTTTCATGATTAATCCAATTTTTGAAATCTATTTTAGAAATCGCATTATTTAGTATCCCTTTTCCTCTTTGGCTCGTTATAGTACGATGAACCTACATTCATTTATAAAAGAAACGTCCTAAGTATTAAATGTTTCATAACTTTGAGTAACGTAATGGTTTTAACTTTGAAATATTGATTATTTGTAAAATTTTGGAAAAGTTATATTGTATAAAATATAAATGAGGGATTATAATACCACCTTCTCTTTTGCGAAATAATCGATGAGGTTCATTTCGATTGAACCTTCGATATAATCGGAATCGCCTAAGAAGTTCGGCTATCATAAGAAAATTCCGGGGGAAACGAAGTGCTCTCGTGAAAAAAGAATGGGAAAGAAATTGAAAATTGTTTGGAATCCCCCCAACTTCGATATCCGTCTAAAATCGCATTACACGAACCTGATATTTTTTTTCTTTCACTTACACACCGATATTATAAATTTCTGCCATCGGTACGGAGTACCGGAAGGTACGAAACAGGGTCCATCTCCCGTCTTGGTATTGGGTAGATAGCGAAGGGACGATATCAGATGATGGAGTTCAGAATGAGATCGCGACCTCGCGACCGAGTCGGTCGTAGGATTTTAAAGCGAGTTTCCACGGGAAAATCGAGCCCAAAATCGCCGTCCATGCTCCAAAACCGTCTTAGATAGAACGTTTCTCTGCGCGACATGTATATATATATACATATATATATATATATATATATATATATATATTGCCACACTTCCATCTTCTTATTTCCACGGAAAATAATCGTTTACTCAAAAATGGACAGCTCAAACGAGAGAGACACATCCCATCCACTCATGTCCGTCCTCCCCGGAATCGACGTGCGTTTCCGTCTCCCGAAATTACTCTAAATTAAATATCACCTCAATCGCGAAAATCTCATTCCTCCATTCCCTCTCTCCCCTCTCTTTCTCGCTCGTTTCGTCGCGGTAGAAGCTCGCGCGAGGCAGTTTGCGGACGGAGACAAATGAATTTTTTCATCAAGCGGATAGCTCATCTTCTCGTTCTCGTGAGCGGCGGGGAAGCCGAGTCGCGCGTCGCGGATCGGCCGCCGTCTCGGTCGCTCCCGGCGAGAGAGAGAGAGAGAGAGAGAGAGCGCTTAACGATTTCCCCGTTTGCGAATTTTCACCACAGCCGCTGAAACGTGAAACCTCTTGGCCGCCGGCAATTAGCGGGGCTAATTGAAAGTGGGACGCCCGGGAATGAGGATTTATTGTGCTCACTCTCGCTTCTCTGAACGTTAATGACGACGACGACGACTACGGCCGACCACTACTACAACAACGGCGACGGCAGCTACGAGAAATCGGGATGGACAACGGGAGATGAGAGACAGAGGGAGGGAGAGAGAGAGAGAGACGGACAGACGAGGCGGGGTGGAGAGAAAGAGAGGGAACTGCACGCCGGCTTAGAACGCGCGGCCAGCAGGCTCGTGTAGAATGGAATTTTTAATTAGGCTCTCGGGGACAAGCTGCCATTTACTGAGCCGCGATCTGGCCGGCCGGGACGGTAATGCCCGAGAGAGGGATTTTGCTTGCGCGCTGCCGAGTATCTCTCGGCGGCGTTTCCTCGCCGGCGGGCCGCGATCGATTCGGCACGCGATGCATTTGCGCAAGAAGTAGTTTCGCCGCCGATCGGCAGATAATAATAACGTATCATTCTGTTTCTGACTGTGCTTCGCGTAAGGTCTCATTTATGGGTCGAATCCCGATTTCGGATCAAGCTTCGTTCACTAATGTATCAAAAAAGTACACGTTGTAGGGAAAACGCGGGAAAATATTTTTGTTATATGCTTTAGCTCGCTTCTTTTTTTCTTAATTATTGTATTCTAAGGTTACGTTGAGAAACATTGTAGATATTCAAGGATAAAATGTGGAATATCATTCGCTTGCCTACTGCACGTTATACTTAATAAAATTATAATTTAATATAATATATATATATATTTAGGACTTATGCATTAACATTTTTAGTTATTATTTTTTTTATTTAGAATCAGTTAACTTGGAATCACGATTCCGTTTGAAAACCATGAAGTTTATTTTTGACATTGGTATTTGTTGCGGCTCGAGCGAAGCTCGACCGCCGGGTTGCAGCGCGACAGGCGAGAAAGTCTCGCGCCGGACCTTCGCCACCGTAGGTAGCGGCGCGCCGCTCGGGTAATCAGCCCGCGAGCGAGTTTCCACCCTCTATCTCTATCTGAGCGTTCGAAACAGTAATTCCTGGTTCTTTTTAACATTCGACCGTCGAATTTCGGTGAATGGGTGAAATTAACTCTGACCTTAAGTGACCCATAATTACGACCAGTTACTTGACGTCTCTTTTCGCGCGTGCTCGAGAGAAAATCGCAGGGCGCGCGAACGCCACTCAGAACGCCGTCGGGGGAACTCGATCGCCGCGAACGCGGGAAATATTGAAATGATGATTAAATCGGAGCTTCCCGCGGGATGCGTACTCCTTCGACGGGTTTTTATCGTCGATACGTGATGCGCGTGCGTGTCGAATCGCGCCGTCGCCGCTCACGATTGAGAAGCGGAGGATTACAACGGTACAATATAAAAAAGATGCGCACGTGTATAAATAAGGTGAGGCACCGCTTTGAATAATATATCTTGGAAATATGAGCGTGGGGAGAAGTTTTTATCCAAGCAGAAATCGCGTCCGATTCTCCCCGTATTTTCCTACGGTTGTCGTTAACACGACCGTTTTTATGCGACTTTCAATTCATACCGAAAACGGCGCACGATGTGGAGCTTGATAAAAATGTGTCGTAATTATTTGGTTTATGGGTTTTTGTGAATGGGAAAAGTTATTATAAAAGTGAGATTTAAAATATAAAATGCAGATATATTAGATAGATATAATGTAGACAGGTAGAGATAGATAGATAGATAGAGAGAGAAGTGGTGAATTTATTGTGCGCTGTGGGAAAACTTCTCCTCGAACGCAATTTTACATACGAAATATAAAATAAAAAATAAATAGAGAAATAAAAAATAAATAGGAAAATGCATATGATAAAATATAGATATATCGATAGATGGATAATAGCGGAATAAAACAAATAAGCCTGTTTTAAAACTAAGAGACCGAAGAATGACAAACACGATATTGTAGAATAAAAGCGAGTACATTAAAGAAGCTATAGTTTATTACGAAACAAATAAAATCAACATTTTTTAACATTTTGTATTTACAATCGAACGATACGATGTATTTTATTGAAACAATTCGTACACTGGTACGGTTTGTTGGGTCAATCCTCGCGAAATGTTGTCACCCGTTTTGTTTTAGCTCTAGTATTTTTGATGCTCAAATTTCTAACGTTTTATACGGCGTAACAATTGAACACTCTTGACAACGCATACCGTGCGTACCGAAATCGGACCATAACAATTGAAGACTCGTCGCTACGCCGTTGTGCGTACCGAGATTGGCTTTGAAAGTACTCCAAACATGATAACAGAATACGAATAGGTGACAAGACAGATTATTTTACTGTACTTTGTCTTGCGATGAAAAAAAAGTATCAGTCGGCGCGGGGATCGACTTCGGCGTGCATCGGAAACGGTGCACGTGACGCGGAACGTGTTGGGAAAATATTTTTGTTTTCCGAAGATATATTCAAAATGGTAATGGTCGTTGCCCCTCACCCTGTATCCTATTTATTTATTGACTCATTATTTATTGACTTATTTGCACACGTATACAGGGCGCTTTCGTAAAAGTGTGAGCTGGCTGGGCGACAATTTTTCTCGCAATCTTTGCGCCACCTCGACCCGTCAACCGAGCGTTTTTAGATATTACGTTTATGCACCGAGAGAAAAAGCGGTTGGAACAAAAAAATCACCCTCATTCGAAGGAATATTGTGTCCGCTGAACAAATTGCGCAACAATATGTCGCATGGGTATAGTTGCCGATTCAGTCGCAATCGTTGAGTCAATTGATAGCTCATAACAGCAGCTCGCACGATCTGTTCAATGGACTAACCGCCGTGCTCGCGAAAATATTTCGCCCCCACCACCTCTTTCCTCGGTGTGGAAACCCTTTTGTTTGCATTGACGTAGCCTGTGCTCACGGCTACACATAGCCAGCGCCCCTCTTTGCAAACATCCACGGTGGAAAAAAAATGTTAA